GAAACTTCTTACGTTTCCAGACAAAGGGGTAACAAATTTGTGTGAAAGATAGGTCAGAAAAAACTTTTTAAAGCGAACAACAAAAGTGGGCGAAAATGTTCACGTCCGTTTTTAAAGTCAAAGTAAGAGTTCTTGGACGTCATTGGCTAATTTGTGAAATCACGCCTGTTGTGGGTGAATACGAAAAGAATACCAAGAGGAGAGAGAAGAGGACATTTTGATTTGAAATTTAAGATATTTTCACATACCTCTTAAAAAATCAAGGCGAGCGCTTGGAGAGCCTTTGCCGACCCTTCGTTTGCGAAGTAAAGCAACATACAAACGAAGGAGCCCTCTGGACTTGCACTGAAAACCTACCTGTGATCCCAACTGGATCATCGTGTACTGTGAATTCAAATTACCTGACCTTCTCTTAATCTTTTAAACGTTTGCAGTTTCCCACATGTTTGACCGCTGTATTTTGTTGAACATGAACTAATCTACATAAACCCTACCCAGTTAAAAAATGGATGGATGATTTCCCAAAGTTATAATCTGCGCTAGAGGTGCAAAAACACGGCAGGATCTGCAAAAACCAAGGTGTTTTTGGATTTTAGAACTGAATTGTGACCCAAACGCAGATCCTTTTTTGTATGACGTCAGGTCCCGGTTGTTCGAAGGTTGGATGACGCTATCCACTGGATGAATCTTTATCCAATGGATAGCGCAGCACGTTTTGCTCTCACTTATCCGCTGAATAGCGGTTTATCAGTTGGAAGACATTGCCCACCCTTAATACAACTGAGCCCTGGCCTGTCTACTACCTGACACAAAGCCAAGTAAGTTAACTAAGTCCTCCACTGAGTTAATCTGGATGCGGTTCAGTTATATATATATACATGTTGATACACTCTGGCATCTCCAAGAGATCTACCATACCCAAAATCGATAGCTGAAATGATAACTCTGGAAAGGCCCAGGCTGTGAATAGATTGGAATGAAATTGAAAGATGTAGTAGGTTGGCTCATCATTCTCACCAAATTAAAATTTTGTTTTCTCTAGTGGCGGGTGGAAAAGGGGGTGGTTATAACAGCACTCACTCCCTTTTTTGTCCAGGGGAAGTTTAACTAGATTCAACCCCCGTTTTGATTAACGATGTCACCTAACGTAATTTTTAAAATTTGAAAAAAGGGAATACCGGTCTTTCAAATACTAACTGAATTTGAGGTCCGTACTAAAACCTGTTTATCGTGAAGCGCGGACCATAGATCGAAGCTAAAAAATCCAGAATCTGTTACCCATCAGAAGGGCTAAGAAGACTCGGTAAGTATGATATTTATGATATCCATTCTGTCCGTCTGACGGGTTGGGAAATGATTTCTGGTCTCGTCAATCAACGCACGTTGAAAGCAAAATGCCGGAGTTGTTCCTAAATTGGTTCAAAAAATAATAAGCAACATAGAGAACTTTAGAATTAAACGGGCCTAGCAAGAGACACACAATAATTTATAGTTACGATTTTGACAGATTCATTTCCAAAGAGACGTTGTACATCTTTAATACAGCTTAGCACCTTGTCGTTAGTATACAAAGCTTATTCCGAAGCATTTATATGGTGCGCTCCACAATTGAGTAAACTTTATTTAATTTCCGGTTCCACTTATCACACAAAAACAGTTTAAACCCGTAAAAACCATAGCTGTCTTAAAATAATTTCATTGAAATCTAAAAAAAAGCATCAAATTGAGTTTTAAATGGCAAACGTTAGATCATAAAGCAAGCTTTCCATTATTCACCAAGGAAGTTTCCTACAGTTATGATAATCAACTAAATAATCCTTTAAAAAAGACTTTTGGTCCAAAAATCGTGACCAAGAAGTCATTTGCGAGGTTCTTGAATCTCAACTCGTATTAATAGAGTATCGTTTACTAGGTACTTCCTTGAATTGAGCCTCTCGTGAGTTATGAACTTTGGAAGGCCACATACTAAGTTCTTCTCTTTGGGCCTAGAAAAGTAAGTCAAGGCGCGTTCCGGATTAAGTAGTTTACTAACATTTTCCCGTTTATCTTCATCTTCCTGTTGATCAATCAGTGTTAATTGCACTTTCTTCTTAAAGGGCCAGGTTAATATGGCGTCATATTCACCTTTCGTTACAACAATGAATACCGAAAGGTGAGTATTACTGCCAGATCCCTCGCCATTGGAATTAACTCTTACTTTTAAATTATAGCCATAGGTTGCTGTGTGGGGAATCACACTTTCTACTGTTTGTTTAATTCCGGCCTTGGATTGTTTGAACACTTCATTAAAATCATGAATCACCCAGAGAAAAGTTCCGTTTTCCCTTTCTAAAACTTTCTTTTTGTCTTTGAGTACTTTTTC